GTAGTCTTTCCACTAACGAAATTCACATCCCATAGCGGAATTCAATAACCACCTGGGGTTACGAAGCAGACCTATTCGGGGCAGTATCGCTTACCCGCTTGAGGGGGGACGGGTTAGAAAATGCGATATAAGAGACTGCTAGCGAAACACGCTGCCAGCGAGCAGACACAAAATTTCGAGAACATGTACCAAACAACAATCACGGTCCCCACCCCTCCCCCGTCCCATCCCACATACTGCTAAGGTGGGTTTGCTCACTCTGGAAGCCTGGAATGTTCGCCCTCTTTTAGAAAATCCATTGAGGAAAGGCCAGAAAGGAGGACAACGCTGTTCGCTACAAGGCAAACACCGCTGCTCTCAGCGAAATCCTACCCTCCGAACATGACCAACTGGAGGAGGTGGGTGTTGTCCACACCTCCTGGAGGGGCCGCCCAAACGCAGGGCGAAGCGACGTAGGCGTAGCCTTTTTCATCCGGAAGGACGTCGTGGAACGACTGCCTTGTATGGTGCAGGGCCGTCAAGAACGAATCACGACCCTGCGCTTGCCCTTTCGGGAAACAAAATCCCAACGGTCGTCAGCGCCTACGACCTCCCCCTCCAAAATGATTAGCTCCAAGGCGGTGAGGTACAAGTTTAATGAAGACCTGCGCTCCCTCATAGTGACTGTGCCGAAGGCCGACAAGCTGGCTGTTCTTGGTGACTTCGGTTCCCGCGTCGGGACAGACCACGCTGCCTGAGACGGGCTGCTGTGTCTTCCCGGGACTGGCAGCTGAACGACAGCGGCCTTCTGTGAACCTGCACAGAATACCCCCTCCTCCTGACCAGCTCACGCGTAGGAACGCCCGCATAGTCAGAGACGTCCTGGTCCCAGGTAACGAGAAGATTGTGAACATGCGCAAAAGACTTTTGGCCCCTTTCCCACACGCCCTTTAGAGCAGCATACCACTCCGCTACGCCCTCTATCAGGCGTGATACAACGCACGCTATGACCTTGCAAGCTGGCACGGTATTCTGGAATGTCAGATCGGAGTCATGCGTCAAATAAATCATCTATACAATCTCCTCCGTCTTTTCCAACTTCTAAAGGCGCGTGGCCTTGATTGTGGGGTTTAGAGTGCAATTGCTGATTTGACAGATGGACTGGTGCTGCTCGTCATCAGTCTAAAGTGTAAGTGGCAGAATATTTTCGTTCTGCATTTGTGAATATGCTGTGTCTGTGTTCCTTGTCAACCTTGAAGTCAAAACTTGACAATTTTCAAAGCAGGTCATACAACTAAGGGAAAACAACAGAGAAATACTCGAACTCCAAAACTAGTAATATATAACCCGAAGAGGTAACCACGAGGATAACGAAAATTAAGATTATGCCAACATCCCCATTGAAGGAAGCATATACTTATCTCGGATCCATTAGTTAAGGAACAACTTTACTCAGTCTTTCTTGATAGAGTCCGTAAAACCTAGTTTCTGGCAAAGGGAACCGAAAACGCAATTAATAAAAACGACGCATAGTTACAAGTCATCACTCGAGCCTAAATTTTTTGAACTGCTCTAAAAGTACTCTTGGGAAAGGAAGAAGCCTAACTGAAGAGGAATCAGATTCACCTCACTAAAGGGAATGGGGGTGGGAGTGACTTTCCTGCATATGCGACTGCTGCGAACTGCATACGCATATGACTAAGCAAGTATTAAAGTAAAAAACCTGATCATTTCCAGGATCATTCAAATGAGCATTTAATCAGTGCTTGGGCGTGTGAGACGCCACGCTCATTCGCCCATACAAGCAAAAGCACACGAAGGTGACCCGCACCGATATATTGGCATTGTAAGACAGAAATGCACATTTTCGCTTTGTTTCTGAGCTGGGGGTCTACGGCTCACGTAGGCGGACACATGGCGACTAGTAACCACTAACTGGGAAGTTTTGCTGATAAAGACAGCACTAGTTGGATTCTAATAGCGGATATGCCGGCCCGGGTTGTGGTATTACTGGCTGATGTCCATATATACGCGGAAATGGCCATTTCAGGATCCCTGTCTGTATCAGTAAAAGTTATCAGTACAGCAAAATATTTTTATATTTTTAATTATTTAGCTAAAATGGAGCTTTTAAATTCCTTCGGACGAAAAAAAACAGTGAAATTACCGCGCAAATATTGGAGATTTCCAGAGACAGTGACAGGGGATACGAAACTAGAAAAGGGAAGAAATCCAGTAGACGGGTGGTGAATAGTTGACTATACCGGTGACTTAACGTATATCTGCCAGTCCTTATGCGTTGTTATCCAGGTATGTACAGTGACTGACTTGTTATTTATCAGGGGCTGATACAACTGAATTCACACCGCCAAGCGTCTAAGTAGACAATTGGATGCCTTTTACATAAGAAGATGCATTACAATAGAGCATACCTCCGGCGCTAGGCGGTTATTGACAGTAAGGCGGCTTACTGATACGTGTGGACGTAGCCAGACACGCTCCGGCTGTCCTCCTAACCTATATGTCTTCAGGGTCCCTTCAAAAAGGGCGTCCAATTTCCGTGTGCTCCGCCCTGGAATTAATGGGCTCTTAGGAAAAAACAATGGTCGGACACGGGAATACGCAGTCCTTCGTATAACAGGTGGCCTTGCCCTAAATTCCCGGAGTTAAGGTTATGGTTAGTGTTAGTGTTAGGACTAGGGATAAAGTTAGGACACGAGAATAGGTACGCCCTGGAATTTGGCCCGAGGCCACCTGTAGTACATGGGGTCCATATTAGCGTGTCCGACCGTAACAGTTTAGTGACTGCGTCAGATTAAATGAGGGGTAACGTTAGGCTAAACGACCGCAACTAGTTGTGGTAAACAAAACTAGCTGCTATATTTGTTTAAGTAGATACTAAATCGCCTATTATTATTACCGCTAGTGTCGAGGCGCGGGGCTGACTTCGCTCTTTAACAGTCTGGTCACATTTCCCTAATTGTGCTTATTGTTTGAGCAAACAGATACCGTGCTGTACGCACGACCTGTGTTATCTACGCACACTTGGTCATCAGGTCGCGGATTTTCTGAATATCGTTTTGATAACTCATTGGCCTTTTCTGCCGCTCTCAGTAGATTGGCGTACATCACTGACGGTATGGACTATCAGTATACAGGTCGCCAAGTAGTGAGTATCATGTTTAGCAACAGTGGTGACTGTCTACTTTCACGAAGACTTTACTCTTTTTTTACCTGCGGCAGTGATTGAAATTGGCCGTCGTCTTCTTTAACTTTTTGCATACTTTTCCCATTGACGCTTTTTTTTCTCGTGGATCATCAGATATTTCACCCTCTATCCCCAGCATAACCTCTCAGTCATTTATAAATGCATGTTCAATAAATATCTCCTCCCCCCCCAATTCTGGCCCCTTTGACCAAAATTTGGAAACTGACTACTGAGGTGTGCCCTGAGCGAAATTATGCCCTGCCGAAGGGCCTGATGAGACTCAGGGAGAGTTTGTACAACTTCGTCATTGTCAAACCTTGAGTTGCGGGCATATAAAGTGATCAAACAACGGCGATAGGGAAAATTCTCCCTTAAGGAACCGCTGGTGACTATGGTTTGAGATTTATTATTGGTTTAGGAAAGAGAGAGTGTGAGTGCTGCGAACAGTGAAAAAATTCCTTCGTTTTTCGAAAAAGGCAGAATGAATGTGATTTAACTGGTTTTATGGAGAAAACACGGAGACTAATGGAAAATTAAATATGCGGGTCAGACGAGACCAACCGGCAGGCAAGAGTACATAACGGTTCGACCGTCAATTCTGACGATGTCCACCCTGTGCTACACAGCAAGGTGCGGCAGGCACGATGACTTGCACATCAACTAGTTTATAGTGATAGCAGATTTGCTCATCGTCTACCGCACACTCTCCTTCCCACTCCCCACCCGGACCCGGTGTCAAGGCTGAATCATGAAGACCGGAGGCGAGAGGGTGCAGGTGGCTGGCACGGCCAGAGTCGCACCTAAGCGTGCCACCACACCTCCCTGTTCCACAACATACACTTAACCAGAGTTTTTCACCACCACCGCCAACAACAACAACAACAACACCCCATCAAGGGTCAGAAGGACGAGGATGACGACTGGGCAGCCATGCCCGCAACCTTTATACACAGCGGGAGCGCAAGCGCATCTACCGGCAGGGGACCAGGTGCCAGGGAACTGCCAGTGCATACCAGGCTGCGAAGGCCATGGTTTGCTGATACTGGCGTAGCATACGCATTCAGACCTTTTGACCTAGAAAGGCGACACATGGCCTCACATTTAGCCTGGGCCGTCATCCTTCAAGGTTGGGTAGTCAAACAGTCGTTGACTAAGAGGCACTATTCATACTCGACAGTTCAACTGTCAATTTCAACGATGTCCACCGTGTGCGACACACCAAGGTGCAGAGGCACAGTGACTTTCAAGTGAGTGAGTTTGTAATGATAGTAGACTTTTGCAGCATCTACCACACTCTCTCCTCTCCAGTTCCCACCTGGACCCGGTGTCAAGACAGAGTCACATGTATGAGCGTCACAGATCGCTTGAGAAGGGGCCATGACAGCCTGGCTGTCAACCCACCAGTCCGCACGGGGACCGAGTCGAGATGCAAACCTCCCACTTGCGTGGGAGGTGGCAGTTGAGTGCTTGCGGGGGGTGAATGTTGATGTGTGGTGGGGTGGTGGTGAGGGAGGGAGGGTGTGATGGTGTGGTGCAGCCGGCGGTTGTCTACCGCAGGTGCTTGTGGATGCGCATGTGGCCGAATAGGCCCATGCGATGCGTGAAAGTGCAAGGGCAGTGTGGACAGTGGAGGTGAGTGTGGTGGGTGTAGGTTGATGCTCCAGACACTGGTTCGTCAATCTCTGTGCGATGGACTCGCAAGTGCCCGACCAGACCGATGTGGGAGGTGAAGGTGCGGTCGCAGTGAGAGCAGGTGTAGTCCTGGTCCTCACCTCTGGTGTCGATGGTGGTGATAATCATGTATGAGGATGTGTCAGGATTGTGTGCAGTGTTGATGTGCGTGGCAGGCACCACGACGGCAGGCCACGTAGAAGCGGAGGAGGAGGAAGAGGATGGGGAATGGCGGTTCAGAAGGGCGGTCAGAGTTAGTTGGCGGCGGAGAGGACGAGGAGGAGGCGGACGGAGGGACGACGGTTGGTGAGGTGCGAGTGGTGCAGTTGATCCGAAAGTGTCCAATAAGTCCGATTTGTGTCCGGAATGCCCGTTGACACCGAGGACCCGATGGAAACGGTTGTGCGTCGGCATTGCGGGGTGGGCGCAGCTGTAATTTGCGTGCGTCTCGTTTGACTTTGGCGGCGGCGATGCGGTTGGCTTCGTAGATCGCAGCGCCTGTCTTCACTGTCCTCCTTCAGGTCGGCCGGTCGTGGGCGAGGTCCTCCCAGTTGGCCTCGGGATGCGACGAAGACAACTGAGGTGGAAGTGGTTGAGTCTGCGTGCCTGCTTCATTTACACCGTCCAGATCCCTGCTCCATACAACAACGTCGGTAGGATGACGGCCTTGTACATATTCAGTCTCGTGCTGAGTTGAAGACCGTAACGATTCCAAACAGTGTTTTGAAGGCGCCTGAAGGCCTGACAGGCCTTCGAAATCCGACCGGCGACTTCATCGTTGATTTTCGTTTTAGGGGAGAGGGTACTGCCCAGACACGGGAAGTTGTTCACCACTTGCAGGTGGGTTTCGTTCACGCTGATATGTGGCACATTATGGGGAGAGGCTGTGTTTGGTGGCGGCTGATGCATGACCACCGTCTTCTGCGTGTTGATGACCATACCTATGTTCTCGTAGGTGGCGGAGAAGAGGTCCATACTCCGTTGCATCTCCTCTTCCGAGGTGGTGTTCAGGGCGCAGTCGTCGGCGAAGAGAAGTTCGTGAATTGTGGTTGTGGATACGCATGATTGGAAGTTCATTCGGCGTCGATTGAGGAGGTGGCTGTCCGTCCTGTAGGCGCTGCGGATCCCGGAAGTTCGTCACGATAGGCATCCATTGGCATGGCAGAGAACATGAGATTAAAGAGGGTGGGCGCCAGCACGCATCCCTGCTTCACTCCGTTGGTCACTGCGAATGCCTCTGAGACCACTCCGTTGTCCGTAGCTCGAGCTATCATGCCCTCGTGGAACTGACGCCCCATCTTAGTGAATTGTTCGGGACAGCCGAATTTCCACAGGATTTTCCACAGTCCTTCACTATTAACCGCGTCGAAGGCTTTCGTCCGATCCGCGAAGGTAGATTAGAAGTGGTTCCGCATCTCCTGATACTTCTTCGGCAGTTGACGGGCGGCAAAGATCATTTCGGTAGTCCCACGATGATGATGGAAGTCGCACTGGCTTTCCGACAGGAGACCTTGTTTCGGATGGTGGTTTAGGCGGTTGAGAAGGATGTGAGCGTAGATTTTCCCATCGATCTTCAGCAGTGAAATGCCTTGGTGGTTGTCGCAGATTTGGCGGTTACCTCTCCACTTATAGAGATGCACGATTGTGGCGTCCTTGAAGTTCTGCGGAACTTCTCCTTGACGTCACATCTCCTGGAAGAGCACCGTTAGAGGATCTATGAGTTGAGAGTCCCCGCGCTTGTAGATCTCAGCACGGATCGTGTCCGATCCGGACGCTTTCCGGCTGGAGAGCTGCTACACGATCCTGATGGTTTCGTGGAGAGAGGATGGGAGGTCGGTGTCGACGTTGATGCCCACTTGAGGCAGACGGGCGATGGCGGCGTCGAAGGTGATGGGGGGGGGGGGGGGTTGAGGACACCTCTGAAGTGCTTGGCCTAATGCTGAAGGGTTTGTGTCTTCTCGGCGAGAAGGATGCTTCCGTTGGCTTTGAGAAGAGGAGCAGTCCCTTTGTTTGGTGGACCGTAGACATGTAGCGGCACAGCAGAGAGAATATGTGCTCTGTGCGCTACAATTATCAAGTCAAGTCCCAGATTGTACGGAGAAGACAGAAGGCACCAGCATGATGGATTTATTGTGCACAGAACCCGGTGTTGTCCTCTCAGGCGGCAGTGGCCACTGGCGAAGCCAGGGCTGGTGTTGACTGCGTCCAGTCAGGCCTGAGAGTCCCAGGGATAATGGTGGCAGCCGCTTTTGTAGGCTCGTGGGCCAAGCTCAAGTGGTGTCCAGTCAGCGTGTGTTGCATTTGCCGAAGGGTGGTGTCCCAGTGGCTTGTTTTGCTGGTTGCAGGGGGTGGCGCGTTCAAGTGGCCGCATGGGCAGCTGCGACTGCGCGGACGCAGGTATGCCCGAGCTGTTGGTCGTGTGACTTCAGGTCACCTCGTCTGGGACGGCTCGCTGCAAGGGATGAATGACCTTGAGGCAGCGAGGTCTGGAACAATGACGCCAGACCGGTCATGATGTCTGGCGGTTACAGACAGACTGGATCACGGAGAAGAAATTCTTTCGTTCGTTGCGGTCCACGTGCCCTTGGTTCTTCTCAGCCCTGCGAGCCGTCAAATAGTCCTGAATCTCCTGTAGTCGTTGTTGCACGAGACGGCGACTATGATAGAAGGCTGCTTTGTTGTCCTTGGTGGGACGATTGACATAGGCTTTGTGCAGGCGGTTCTTCTCGGCAAGCAGGTTGCTGAGGACGGCGTAATTGTCATGGAACCAGTTCTGATGTTGGCGATACGCGCGTATAAGGACAACCAGGGCCTTCGATCGCACTATATCCCGTAGTTAACATCATCGGTTTTCCACGTAGGTGTTCTCCCCGATGGCGACGGCAGCGGCAACTGGAAGCCCGGCTAGCTGTTGAGCCAGCTCGCCGCTGAAATTGAGATGGTTAGCAGGCAAAGACTATTCAGCTTACCCGGAGATCACTTACCTTGTGATCTTCTGAGAGGCTGTAAACTAATCCGTATTCTGGAGATGACGAGTCGATTATAGGTCCACCCATCGGCATTAGGGATCGCCCTTGTCACCAGCACGTCCCGCTGGTCTCGCCTCCGGACGAGGACATAGCCCAGCAGGTACCAGTATCTCGACCGAGGGTGTATCCAGGTAGCCTCCTCTCGCGTCGTGAGGCGGGAGAAGGCGTGGATCAGGATGAGCCGGTGTTCTGTGCAGGTTCGTCGGGGGAGCAGGCCTTTGTTGTTGAAACCATATGGACCATGGGGACCTAGCACTCCTCTCCAGGCAGAATGGCCTGTGCCGACGCGGCCTTTGAAGTCACCAAGGACAATCAACTTGTCCGCCTTCCGCACAGTCGCTAGGAGGGCGTGTAGGTCTTCGTGGAATTTGTTCCTCGCCTCGTCAGGACTGGTCATCGGCGGGACGTAGACGCTGACGATAATAGCGAATTCTTCTCCCTGGGGAGGCAGGAAGAGGCTCATCAGGCAATCGTTGGTGCCCTGCGGCAGACAGGGCATTCGTCCCACGATATCATTCTGGATAGAAAAGGCGACATTCGCGTCCCGCCGTTCTGCCCTGGGACGACCGCTGCAGAAAAAGGTGTAGTCGGTACCCTCGTCCTGCAGTTGGTCTACTCCGGAGAACCGGGTCTCGCTGAGAGCAGCGATGTCCACCTTGTAGCGCACCAGTTCCCGAACCACCAGAGCCGTGCTCCGTTCCGGTTGGTTGTTTCCCGGATTGTGCAAAAGGGAATGGACATTTCAGACTGCCAGAGTGAATTGACTCACCTTACGTGTCTGGCGAGTGAGGCGGTTGATGGGGGGGGGGGTGGGGAAGGAGAAAGAGAGAGTGTTGTTTCTGAGTTGGTTGCTTCGACAGTGAGTTTTGCGTCTGAGGCAACGGTCAGCTTGCAGACGGCGTGGGTCCCTAGCATTTGTTTGGGACACCTTTTCTAGCCCCTTCCCCCTTGCAGGGTTGAAAAGTGCTCTCCCTAAATAGGGCCGTCCATCTGTCCCAGGCGGCTGTCGAACTCCACTGTGGGCCACGACTTTTGTTTTAGTGAGAGACTGACCCGAGTTAGTCTGGGACTGCCTACGACACCGTCATAAGCATGAAGGGGGAAGGGTAATGAGACGGGGTGAAGAGCTTCCCCTTCCCCTATAGGCTAACTGGCTGCTGAGATATAGATGGTGAGCAGATAAATTCAACAGAACGGCATTTAGCTCACAATAAGGACAGACAAAAACAAGCGGACAAAAAGTAAGCAGGAAAGAATAGCAAAAAGCAAAGGCAACACAGGAAATTCAGTGGAATGGCATTGTAGCGGCTAAGAGGTGATGGTGTACGCTCAGTACGCCACAACTTCAGGCCATATCCCAATTTGTTGGAAGCAGGACGCCATTTAGTTATGACACTTTATTCTGTACAGAATAGTGAAGGGGAAATTTGGCAACCGGACGAGGATGCGTCCGGCTCCGCGGAGGCGGCGTCCACGAGAGCGACGAGCCCTGTGTCGCCGAAGGTCGACGCTGCAAAAGTGTCGCTGCAGATTGTTTACTCTATTGTTCTGGACTGTTCCTGCCTGTCTTACCAATCAGCGATAGGATTTGCTTTGCTTGGCTCCAAGCCCACACGAAGGTGGTGACAAGCCTCGAATGGTGCAGGCAGAGAATCGACCGAATGCGTGGTGCAGACAGTGAACTGTAACGAGACAAATCGAAGCCGGGCAGACGTGCGTGCCATAGCAGGCTGTCGCTGGAACGTAGGTGCAGACGCTAGCAAGAGGCGCGACGTAGCCATTATGGCTGTCCACTACAGCATTTAGTTTTTAGCAAGGACAAACACATACAAGCAGGCAGAAATCAGGCAGACAGGAAAAATTAAAAGCAAAGGAGCAGAATAACGTTTACTTATCTGGAGACTTACCTTGTGGTCGCCTACGGTGTTCCAGACGGAGCCACATCACGCAGATGCTAATGTCGGCCATCGGAGCCGAGAGTACTGTGCGCGGAGATGTACGCATGGATACCCTCACTTGGTTTAGCTCGCCAGTCGAGGCGGTTACGGGGTTGTGGCCGCTAGGCAGAGCCTAGCCTCAGTGCGCCACATGTGAGAGTTTGGTGCCAGCAAATGGACTCTATGCGTAGTCTACACCTGCAGGCAAGCGAGCGACTAACTACGACCGTCACGTGGACCCACCGTTGGACATCCCTACACCCCGGCAAGAGTATAGAGGGAATTCGAAACGGCCCTCATCAAGATTAAATTCATAAACCAGATGAGGCTCTTTGCTGCAGATGCGATCTCAGCACATTTTACTTGACAGTAGTCGCAACTGGCAAGGTGGCATGACAGGAGGGACCCAACGCGACCAGTCACAGTCCGTTTGGAGTCCAGGCGAGGAGGGGATATTTAAGGCTGCGGCGGCTATCAAGATGTGAGGAGATGCGACAATGATACCTCCTTGTATGACCGACCAAACTGCCAGCAGATGACGAAAACAGAGGAGTCTACCGTGGTCGTCAACAGGTCGCTGTGGGTTGAAATGGGGAGATTATTTAAAATCCACGAAAATCATCGTTCGTGAAAGGATGTAGAGAATCACGGTAAATATTTCCGGGGGAGGGGAGGGTAAGATGAGAGCATGGGAATGTTAGGTGGTGGCAGACCCAAGTTGGGACTGACATTGGGAGTGAGAGCTCGAGATCTCAGGGGCCAGAATGGATCCCTGAGGAGAGTCGGCGGTAAGCGAAACGGAGGTGACTTAGGGCGTGCGCGTCGGCATGGCCCAACTATTTCTTTAAGAGGTTGGTTTGGGAGGACATCGCGTTTTGTGAAGGACAGGATGCATGGACGCAATTCACAAAACATGAATACCGCAACCTACACGGCCCGTCCGGGTACCCGGACGTTGTCCATCTTCCTTACAATTTGGACAGCTTCAAAAAATGTCTTCCTCATTCACAATATACCTCTAATTATTTTTATTAAGGAAGAAGTTAGCGACTTTGGTCTGAAACCAACTCCACCTTTTATTCACGCAATTTTCCATGTTAACAAAGACTTC